ACCCATTATCTTCTCAACAATTTCGTATATACGGATGCATGTCAGACGGTGATACCATCGTATCACTAAACGAGCGCGTAATTAATATTTATTATTTCTTCTTTAAAAAGTTGCAAAAATTAGTAACGGCCTTTTGATGATTCTGCTCTGTACGAATCAATTTACTCAACGACCGGAGATGCTTAGCTTTAACTGTCCGCTTGTTAACTTGTCTTTGAATTTCATCTGCTGCTTTCATCATATGTGGTACTTTAAGAGCACGAGCTGTTTTTATAATATTTAACGCGATATCGTATATATTTTGGTCTCTCATTTCAATCAATTTCAAATAATTTAATTTTTTCTTCTCCTTTTTCGATAAATGTGGTGTATTATTTACATTTATATTCTGTTTATTTTTCGATACATTGGAGTCAATCTCTTCACTTGTTGATAATTGAATGAAATCTTCATTTGGTTTAAGTTCTTTTGATTTAACCGATGGCATGGGTGCAGTATTTAATGGTATAATCTCAGAAACCTGCACTAGAGGAGTTTTTATTGTTATTGTTATGTCATCGTAATTGCGATTGATTAGTTTGTTTGTCTCAAGCAAAGTATTGTTCACATTTGGTTCGTCATTTAATATCTCGTTATTCTGTTGATTATCAATTACGAAGAAATTATCGGAATTGATATTCGGCGAGGTGCAAAGTGTCGTGGATGAAGTATCGGCAGTAGAGGTACATATGAGGTTTTCTTGGTTTGCTAATATGTGATGTATTTCTGACTCCTGTTGCTCCTTTTCTGGTACGTGGCATATTTCTAATTTCGGCTGCTGCGAATCTTTAAACTTTTTTTCCTCCAATTCGATGCGTTGTAACAACCTGTGTAAATTCTCGGATGTGTGAGGTACAAACAGTTGATTATAAAGCAGATTAAGTCTAAGATAAGTTACAGTGTCCAGTTTTGCATTCGTTTGATAAAATCCTGATTTGAATCTTCTCATTATGTCTTGAAATGTACGTACATAAACATTCGGTTCAGGCTCGGTATTAGTAATCACAAGAAGTTTAGTTTGCAAACGAAATAAGTTTCGACGTAAGCGATTATACTTTTTTTGGGTTCTTTGATTGCCATATAGCTTGCAATGATTTTCCACTTTGATTTTTTCGGAGTTCACAGATGTTAAAATCAATCGCGGATGATCCAGTCCTCCTATATAGTCGAAATAATGTCTGAAACGCATTTTATTCAGTTGTGGTTCTCTTGATAGCAGCACGTTCAACATCTTCATACAACTTACAGGTAGATCCACGTCTATTCCATAATCTTTTTCATCCTCTGGGAGATTAAGCCAATATTTCAACAAGTCATACAAAGGCTCTATGTAATCTTTCATTGCTATTAGTTGTAATGATAGAATTTTGCGATGGATATAGCCTATATTCACTTCAAATTCTATGTTCGCTTTCGCCAGCAATACTGTCAAAAAATTCGGAACAGTCCGATGTTCTATTAAATTCTTTACTATAGCCAAATTTTTTTTTGTATGTGAGAAGAATGTATTAAGAGTAATCAAGACCATCCGAGCATCCTTGTTATTTTTGGGAAAAATACCACAAGAATATATAAGCGTGGAAAATTTTATATAATCCACTTTGATTGGTTTGAAATTTGTTTTTACTGTGGGCCAAATAAAAGGAGATTTTAAATTACCTTTCGTTTGCGAGATAACTTCTTGTGAAATTGGTGAAATGTAGAAATTAATATTTGACGATGTGTCTACATTTGCAGAAGATTCCACGTCTTCAGTAGTTATTGTTTGTTGTGTATCAATAGTATATTGTGGAATCGATATTTCGTTTTCTGTCGTCTCAGACAACGAGAGATCGAGCTCAGAATCAGGTCCAGGATAACTTGATACATGAGGACTTGATGAACGATATATGGGTCCATCTGTATAATTTGTGACAGCAGCTGGAGTGGGAAAATTCTCAGACCATCGATATTCTCTGCATGTTGACGATTCGTGGCCACGCTTAGTACAATTACAGCAATATAGCAATTTCGATGGTTTCATCACGTTGCCCGGATCCTGTGGCATGCTACTCATGTCAGTCGTCTGATGATACCGTCGCCAAAGATCGGGACATTGATTTTGCTCGTGTCCTACTGAATCACACATAGTACAGTAAAGAAGGCGACAATATTCACAAGTGTTACGAAATGTGTTCTGTGGCTTACCACATGTCAGACACATCTTCTGTGGGCATCGAACCTCTGCATGGCCCTTCGTGCCGCACATGTAACAAGATGGTGGTCTAAGTGGTGTTGGACAATCATACCGCCGATGCCCATCCTGCTGGCAGTTAGTGCATTTGACATTCCAGAATCTAAAACGTTTGCTAGAGGGACATGGCATTAAATCTTCATCCAGAATTGCCCACATTCGTGGATCCTTCGACATGCTTTGTTGCAACTTTCTAATATCGAAGTTTTCTTGACCGCGATTCAAATTATAATAATTTTTCATTTCTTCCGACATTGGCTCAAAAAACTCATTCGACATGTTTCTTTTCTCTCCAGTACTGCTGGATTGTGACATAATATTTTGATTATTCTGCTGACTGGTGCATCGTCGCTTCTGTTTAGATTGATCATCAATCTCGTTGCATCGTCTCTTTCGATCAATTACTGGATTGCATGGCTCTATTACTGAGCTTCTGTTTTGCTCTAAATGCGTAAAATACATATTATTACTTTTGTCAATATTTCGTTGCATTATTTGCAGTTTTTTTCCTGGTGTCACAGATATTTCTTGCTGAAGATTAGTATTTTTGTTATTTCCTTTCAAAAAAGGTAAAGTTTTTTTAGAGTTTTGACTTGTATTTTCTGTCGATTTACTTCGTTGTTTTACCTCTATGCTTTTGGACAATTGTTTAATTTCACTTATGCTTTTAGCACCTCTTTGAATTGTTGTGCAATTCAACACAATATCTTCCATGATATCTTGTGTACCTGTTGATGTTTGGATACTTTTACCAGAATTTACAGTATCCTTATTATATGATCTAGAAGTAGTCTTGCTTTTGGAAGATGTATCTTGAGGATTACTCTGTAGAATTTCTAATTCGCAATTTTTTAATGGGCGCGCTTTTAAATATGTCTTTAATGAAGCACCGTTATGGTTAAAAATCAAATCATTATCTATCTCAGAATTTGATTCATTTTCTTCATCAGAATCTTGCAAGTCTATAAGTGGTGGTTCTGGTTTCAGTGGAATAGGTACTTCAAATATGGATTTTTCAGAATCAGAACTGTCTTCTTTATCCATTTGTTCAGCTAAAAGCAAACGTACTTTTTGTTTTACGCATTTTGAAACAACATTATATTTTGAATATTCCATATCATTATCATTTTTATCAGAACTTTCTTTATGTGCAGTTTTTACATGTTTGGAAAATTTATGTTTCTTGGAAGAATTTTCTTTCTTCTCTTTTTCTTGTACGACTGAAGGATCTTCTGAACTTTTATTGCCATGTGCAGAATTAATTTCTCTACTCGACATAGTCTCAACTTGAACAAATTCTGATTGATGTGTAGAGGGCATCTTCTGAGAATCTGCTGGATATTGTATACTTATATTATTGTATATCGATATTTTTGTAATGAAACTCTCTTTTGGAGCATTCAAATCATGATATTTTATCGACACTTTGGACTTATTTTTAATTTTACTAGATTTACCTCCAGTTGTCTTAGATGTCAAAGGTTGTTCCAAATATTGTTCCCCTGATTCATATTGTATCCTTTTCGATTCAACATTTGTCTCAGTGGTCATGCTATCGAATTTGATTGTCCTCGAGCTATCCGTGGTTTCTGACGCACCCTCGATATTCGATTCGTAATAGATTTCTGCATACAGTCGAGCCTGCAACTCACTGTCATTGAAATTGTCGGTGTTATAATAATCTGTAACACACAAAAAATAATTATTCACATTGTCATCGCAAACGAATAATGTAACAAATCATAACTTTTAACAATTAAATTGATGAGATTTTTAACAATTGTCAATAATTCACCGTCGAACGAATTGTTCTTCTCAATAATGTTGCCTGACATGATGCCTGTGAGTGTTTCTTATATTAATCTTGGAATAACTGAAACTTTTCAGTTATTGTAAGCAACTGACGCGCTATTGAAAAATAACAAAAATTTGCAGCAAATAAAGATAATACTCATAAAAACTGTACACGTGCTACAGTAAGTAGAAATATATCTCTTATAATCTTTTATGTTCTTCGATCTTTCGTTATAACCTA